CAAATAATTAGTTGCTGACGTCAAAGGCGGCTTATAAGTATTTCGAATCTCTCTGTGCGATACGGCAATAGCGATTGAACAGCTGCATCAAACACCTGCTTTCATACAATATTCGGTATGTGTGTAGTAAACTAAGGGTTTCTAATTTTGTATTAAGAAGGAAATTGATGGAATGATGAGATAAAATGTGTCATCCCGTATGTCATAATATATAAATACTCTCGCCGTGAACCAGTTTTAATATAATGAATTTAAAAAATTGAATTTGTATATTAAATTGCCAAAGTAATGAAAGATGTTCCTATGGTGTAATCATGCTTCAGAATAATTCTTGTTCTGTTTGTCATAAATTTACACATTATTTTAAACATGATGCCGGAATTATTCACACAAACTGTTGGAAACAATATATACATTATTCATATAATTATATTGGGATATGTTACACAAATGAACTGGTTCCAAAACAGTATTTATAAACATGCTAAGGTATTTGTTACACACACACATACACAGAAACACAGACACCTTCCATATGATACCCAGAATAAAACAGCATCCTACTGAAGTTGCACACACAAACATAGTCCAATATAATATTCAGGGTAATCATAATTTGTTCTAGGAATTTGTCACAAAAAAAACACAACACCGGAAGCATAACATAGATATCCTACTTTTTCTGTTGACAGCAACAGCAATTGGCAGATTAAAAACAGATTCTAAATCAGATATAGTATTAGTATCTTTATGTTGGTAACTTAAAGAAAATGCAAAGTTGTATGGACTGCAGGTATTCGTCTTTATTCTGGAGCACCTTGCCTTTGTACTGCTGAATTGGATTAAACATCTAATAAAGTAACTTTGGTGACAATATGCATATTGATGGGATGGAATCGGGATGCAATAATGTTATGATGGTTTTATGTGTGCGTGTGTTTTGCACTCCAACCCACCCCATGATAGCGTACTCGGCTTAACAAAATGAATGATATATAATCACTAGAGGAAGTGCGAATTTCTTATATAAATTAAATATTGCAATGATGATTTGTCAATGTGGTACCGTATATGTGCTTGCGAAAATCACTACATTTATTATATAATTATATATAAATGTAATTCGTCAAACACAATACTATGTAATATTAGTGCATGAGTACTATTGATTGTGATTTCCTAGTATAAGAACAACAACTGCAATAATGACTATCTTTTATTCTTGCCTTAGTTGTCTCGCTTGATCATCTAATATCATAGGAATATACTTATATGTGAAATTCTGTCCAAATGTATATCAAACAGCAGCTTTTGTAACACCGTCTGAAAAGCATTTAACTGAGAGAGATGATATGTTATGGTATTTACTAGAATAATAAATTTATTTGAATTTTAAATTTATAAATTTTTTTCCAGTTTCTGAACTAATAGATCTAAGAGCTCTTGCAGATCGTCCGTAGACTTGCAAGTGAAATTTTAAGTGTATCGCCACTGATCTGATCAACCACATGCCAATCTTTGATTAGTCCAAATTAACACTCGAAAAAAACCATTACTCTTAACACTACCGACTGTTGTTTTTTAGTGTGCAATTTCTTATTATGCCATCATATATCGCGTAATAATTATTATGAATTCTTATAACATTTAAAACACTAACCAGAGAGATTTTGTACAAACCAAAATACATAAAAAGTGGAAACCCTATAACAATCATTAATCATTACTCACATGTATTTACTAATGTTGTAATTATATTCCCGAGACAGAACTGTTAATTTTTACAATGGCAATGTATTCGATACTATCTGTGATATCAGTAAAAGTGAACCTGTTTCTGTGTGGGTGTGTCAACGTGCGGAATATGATTTTCATGATCAATTTGTACGATCTAATGGTGATATATATCATATAGAATCTCTTCATGTTGAAATGAATACATTGAACTGAAATATACTTCTGAACTTGTCAAAGTTAGACAATTGCTAAGTAAATTTTTTACCGTACCATCCGTTGCTGATAATTTCGCTCAGGAGCAAAACTCAGTGAAACCGACACGATCAGAATTTCTTGTGATGACAAGAAAAGTTATATAGAATATGGGCATGGGTATAAAGGAATAATAAACACGATTATAGTGACGTTATCCCAGTTGCCATGGTTGCATGTTATACTTAGAAGTTTTCTTGGATATGGAGATCGTTCTAAATATTTTAAGAGATTTGGACATAATACACATGAGATGAACCGGGTTGCAATAAACCCACCCTTACCAAATTTTAACTCAAGATGATTTGCTTATTAAGAATCATTAAAGTTTAGAGAAGATCTCCAAGCGATTACTTATGTTTGGATTGGGATACACTTTTCAGACAAATGTTGAGTTCCAATATTACTATTGAGGTATATAATAGATGCTGGAATTTTGATATCATTAAAAGAAAATGAAGCAATTATATCGTATAGTTCTCAGAAGCAAGTTTGGTTACCAGAACAGGATTGTTAATATATCGATGATACCAGGAAAGAATTTCCTGATTTTGACGAAAATGACATCAATGAAATAAGTAAATGATGGTACAAGCACGATGAAAAACTTTCGAAAGATCTTCGTAGGAAGATAATCGGTACTGTTCAAGATTGATTATGGACTATAATTAATTGGATTGATGCAACGGACAAAAACACATTTATAAGCTGATGTAATGATCATCTATCAGATAAAACAAAATTAAGGACCATGGTGAGCTATCTTGATGGAGACCCAACGAAATTTACTCATTTAAGATCTTTGATGTTAGCTTATGTTTAGATAAGTCTGTTGTCGATGATAAATAGTTTTCCTCGTTACGCTTGCAGAGTTGATACTGATTCATTTTGTATAAATTCGAAAATATAATGATTTATTAAAACAGCTACTCAGTAATGGTGAATGGGGACAAGGAGGATAAAGCATGAAAATATACGTAGTTTTTCTGAATCTACGGATGTTGAAAATGCGGAGAAGTACTACAAAAATAATCAAGTATCAAAATGTGCAAGATGCTGTGGCTAAACATAAGACTGCTTATCAGATATGTTTCTTTTGACACCTACATATAAGCTCGCCAGAGAAATAAAAGAACGAGTTTTAAAATAGTGTTCATATAATAATTTCTTTAGATGCATGGATTCCTTCGTGGCTAGATGAAAATGCATTCCTAAAACTATTATGTGGGACGAGATATGCACGGTGTTGCTTGAGGTATTAAAATAATTCTTGCTCTGCTACTACTAAAAATAATGCTGTTATAATGTGTGGCGATCATTTACTGGATCGTCTCCACATGAGTGGTTGAAAACATTTGTAGATTACAATGAAATTCTTGATTATCATAGAGCTATTGCTAACCAATAAATGAGTTAAAAACGTTAATACTACTACTACTACTACTAATGATAATAATAATAATAATAATAACAATAATAATAATACAAATATTAATCATAATAATGAAATTATTATTATTATTATTATTATTATTATTATTATTATTATTATTATTATTATTATTATTATTACTATTATTATTATTATTTTTATTATTATTATTAACAACAATAACAATGTTAATGAAAATAATAAGATGTCACTTTAAAAAAGACCAGTTTGATTTTTTGGTGTCTATAATAGAGAGGCCCTTTAATCATTTGTTTGGTGCATTTATGCAGTCTCATCATTCTTTAGTGCGTAATTCTAGCAAAATGAAGTTTCATTGCAGTCATTTCCCACAAAATTTATTGTGATTAGTAATTGTGTCTATTTACATTTAGCTGGAGTCTCATATTTTAACGGAAAAAATATAACATTATGTAACGTAAAAGTGTGGATGCTATGCTGGAACGATACTATCACAATAGCAAAGCTAAATATGTATGATCTATAAAATATTTTTTTTTTCGTGAATTAGCATTTCGCGGTTATTTCTGCATCTTGATGTTTCACTACAAGTATATTTAATTTCTAATGAACTACGTACATTGGCTACACGAATAGTCATCTCTAGGTCATAATATGAACATGAAAAAGGCCAGTGGTGACAAAGCTGAAAAGGAAAATCTTTTTAGCTTCGTGTAAATGGGATCTGTAGCACTCATGTGGTGTGATTTTTAACGTAGCTTTAACAATTTTTCAGTCATATCGCTGCTGTGTCTGCAGTGTGGCAGTTTATGGTGATGTCTAACACAGGGGCATCATGCCCCAGACATGTAGCATGATGTCCCACCCAGTCGCTTTATCCTGATACCAGGCCGACCAGTCCTAACACTAACCTCTCAATGCTGAGCGTCAAGCGAGGCAACTTGTACCTTCTTAAGCACTACATCTTAACTAAATGGCAATAAGAAAATAATCGTGCTGTATAAATCAATGTATATTTAAAAACTGTTACGACCCAGTAATTTAATCGTGTGTTTGTGTTGCGGAATCGATTTTTGATAAATATTTTTATTTCATTTTATTTCATTAAATGTAATTATTAATATAATTTTATTAATATCAGTCTAGTATGTTTCAGAGATATACAATTATATCCTGATTTATAGAAAGTTTCTTGGTATTTTCTTTTTTTGCTTCATAATTTAAGCACCAACTACTTGAAGATATATTCCATATTTTATTGATATATTCAAAATATGCATTGAATGATAATCTAGGTGTGTTCATTATCACTAGTTGTATACAAATCCAGATAAATTCGTTTTTACCATTTGAGGGAAAATGCAAATTTATTCAGTATCACTACTTAGCTGGAAGTTATATATCATGATTATATTGCCTTGAGCTGATTAATGTAAGAACCGGAAACAAAAATAAAAAATTGTAAAATTCAACCATTTTTTTATTTCCATATATTAACGAAAATTTAAACAAACTTTCAGTTATACGAAAGACATCCACAAATAGTCCAGTACATTTTATCACCAGTCCTAATGAATAAAGTTTTAATTAATTATGAACCGCTTCGGTGGCCTAGTGGTTAGAGCGTCCGCCTCAGATGCGGGATCTCCTGGTTTCTATCCCCGGTAGAGACATAGCAAAGACTTACAAAAATGGTACTAACAATTGCCTCACTTGACGCTGAGCATTAAAAGTTTAGTGCTTTAGGACTGGTCGGCCTGATGTCAAGCTAATGTGACTGGGTGAGACATCATGCTGCATGTCTGTGACATGATGCTCCAGTGCTATACATCAATATAAACTGCCACAATCCAGACATCGTAGCGACATGACTGAAAAATTGTTAAAGCTACATCCAAAATCATACTCACATCACACTAAGTAATTATTATCCGCATTGGTATTCATTCCATACTTTATTTACCTTTGGTAGATAATCACACGTGTAAATCCATAGCTTGATCATCCTAAGTCAATCCTGGTAACATATTATTATGTCAATATATTTTTGTAAAGTTTCCGTTTATCAATTATCACCGATTACTAGTCTAATTCGATTTCTTAAAGTTTTCAACAATATAGTTCTTATATCAGCTGCTTCGCTCATTGCGCAATATTTAGCAAATTTATTATGCGACACAGTTGTCAGATTTAACAATGTTTAAGGCATATAAACATGAGCATTATTCACTAAATTGCTTTTAGTGCCGTCCTTATATTGTGATTTCTTCCCCTGTCTTCTTTGGACATTTACCTCTTAGAAAGAAATCACCGAAGACGTTTTGATGCCATATGGTACAAGGTTAGACAGTGTCTCGAGACAGGACACTGATTTATAGATAAAATACAGTGGTATATGATTAGCCAAAGCTACAGATGATGCAGGATCAGCTACAGCAATAGAAGGCACAACTGCTGAGGAAACCACTGAACCCAGCCAAGCAATATCTTTAGTGCCTGATATAAAACATCTGGAGCAAGGAGGCTCTCCCCCCATCTAGACAAGACGGTCCCGTTCATTGATCAACAAAGTTAAAGTTGATCAAGCGCAGTGGTAAATGTAATAATGACAGTTCACATATGGAATATTCATTCATAATTTTTGTGTTTAATTGAAAATAGGTGAATGAATATGAAACACTAAAGGACATTGGAGTAAATAAAATAATCCAAAGCAAACGAAAAATCCACATCGATCATGGACCAATAAATTCCGGTTCATGCCTGTTTCGTTATATATTCTAATTCTGTACTAGGAATTTTTATTTCATTTCTGAGCGTAATACACATTTAAATATCGACCTTTTCTTACCCTACATTTATTAGTTTTCAATTATCTGCATTATGTATAATCTTCCCATGATAATGTTTATATAATCCTTCTAAACTGAATATTATTCATCTTGCTTATTCATGTATTATTCATGTGTTTAATTCATATGTAATTATTTATACTAGTGTTTTTATTAGTAAAACTTTCCACGTTCCTTTCCTCTTTACACATTACTGTCCTATATTTTGCAGGTTAGTTTTGACATCAAAATAATATTTCTAATATTTCATATATAATGATTTTCGCTCAGCTACAGTTCATGTACGCTCGATTCTTGCGAGCAGTTTGTGCAATATATCCCCACCTCTTTACCTAGATTTGTGCATGAACAAATTGGTTTAATTCTTTGAAAATATTTAATCAAGAGCAAACAATACAAACAATACAGCAAACACAAGTAGAATTAGTATCCGTACAATAAATATAATATCCTATTAGCGAATGCAAATGAAACTCTGTAGGAACTTTTGAAAGGTGTTCATTTTAAATTATAATGCTCTTTCATTTCTGCAACGCGTGTTGAAAACGAAACTATTTCCAAAACAATTTTCAAGACAAGTTTTAGTTTTTCAGTCAAGTATGGAGTTTGGTTCCAAGCGTCATGGTGGTGAAGCAATACTAATGTTGAATCAATAATATTACATGTTATAATTTTATATTGATTTTGACAGTAATTAATACACTATAAGGTGCAATTCATATTTAGGTTCCCATCCCCGATTTGGATAAAATGGAAACCAGTATCGTGCTGTATTCTTATTTAACAGGGCAAAGTACTATTATAGCTTTCGATTTAAATTCCATTATAATTTTAAAATTAGGTATAATTGAAATCTTTCTAAAGCCCATTGGATTGCAGGCTGATAGACACAAGACGTATACTTTATAAGTTCTTGGGTTCCTAATTTATGCATAACTTGCTGGAAAGTTCCAGATATAAAAATGTACCCCAGTTTTAATTCGACAAATTGGGGAAAGTCAATTTGAGTAAACAAAATCTTTATCAAAGGTTTTCCTATTGATGAGGCTTTCATATTGCTCTAAGGGTTTGCCTCTGGTAATCTTGAAAACGTACACATTATGGTCAACAAGTATTGTTTTGCCTGACTTGTGCTAAGTCAAGAGACCCACATAATCTACATCACTCTGATACAAGATTTATCTAATATTGAAATAGATTGCAGATGAGAATTATATGTATTCTGATTGGGTTTGATTGTCATTTGACAAATATGACAAAGTTTACAGTATTTCAAATCATTACTTTTAAGAACCAGCCAATTGAGTTTATGTGCAAAACAAAGACTGCACTATCAACACGATTGTGAAACTACAATTTGATAGTTCCACAACCACTTGTCACCAGCACGTACCTCAAGTCGTCTTGAACCCCATTTATAACAAAGTAGAAAACACGGTTACTTATGTATCTTCAGTTTCATTAATGACCCTTTGAAATAATCAGGAGATATCTGAATATCTTTTCCAGTTCGATGACAAATGATCGAGTTTGTCATCTTTATTGGAGTAAATATAATAACTAGTTAAATGAAGATAACTGTGATCTGCACTCTTTTATTGAAGTAGCCACTTCATTTGCCTGACTAATGCATGATAAATGAATGCATTTCTAATTAACATCATTCTCAAGAGCTTTCGTTGTTCTAGGTCTAGCTACTGATATAGCTAGGTATAAATCAGGGATTCCGTTTTCAATAACATCGACTTTATGATCAAAGGTTTGTCAGTTGCAAGTTGATTAAACACAATATTGCCTCTAACTTGGACACTGCATTGTAATACATGAATACACTCAATGGGAATTGGCAACACTTTTCCGACTGTTGTGCGTCCTGATGGCACATTCTACCATAGAAACAAATATTAATGAAGCCGCTCTTAACTCAGTCAATAAGGACACTCACTGGAAGAAGATGTGTCAGAAAGAGTTACAGTACATTAGTTAAAAGACTGTGAAACTCCTGCGTCCCTTATAATTTTAATTGGGGTATGATTAACCGAATCACCGATGACGGATATATAATCCTCTCACATGAACGGTTCTTAACGCCATAGTAAAATCATCCGTTGTTTCTTTGATACACCAACTGTATTGTCTTCAACAGATGACCGCGTACTTGATCTCACTGACATAGGACCATTTCGAACATTTGGAATATATCTATGTTAACTATGCTCCTATTTTTCAATTTGTATCAATTAGAAATACCGTGTTCTTTCTTCTTGCACTCAGCGCACGCAGGAGGATATAAGGACTTATGATCCACTTTATAAGGAACTGAATTTCTCAATGCTATGTCAGTTTGATGTAGATGTGCTAGTATTAGGCTAAAATAGTTTGTGTTACGAGAAGACTGCTCTATTGTATGCATAACTTCAGAAGAAACTTTGAGATAAGGAATATTCGTCAGCTGTATGAACATTATTCTCTAAAGTTTCGACCCTACGCCCATCAAGGCAAATCTTGATGTAAAACGTCAGTACCTGAAATATTCAACTAATACTAATTCTCAGAGGTTTTTGTTTGTAATATTTGTTACTCTATTAGAAGGGCAACATCTATCGGATTGTCGGTCCGTTTCCCATGCAAATTCGACATACGTTTTGCCAGTTGATTTTTTACAATTCCTAGACCCTTAATAATATGCCTCCGGAATATCATAATTATAAGCCTTCAAGATGCATTCCTTTATCATATCATAATCATCACTATGTTGTAGTGACAATGAAGTGTAAAAAGTACAAGGTTTTCCAATAAGTAGACGTTATTTTTATAAAGTTCAGCACTCTCTAGGACGTTTCAAACGTTCAGCAATTTTCTCAGCAAAAAAAACCAAAAACAAAATAAAATAACAATCCACGTTTTTTTTCCGACAAAGGGGTACTATTGTAATATTTCTAACAACATTAATGGACCCGGGAGTGCTTTCAACTTGCAAGAACCGATTCGTTAAATCAAAACCAAAATTTCCGTTTTTCTTTTCCTCTCTTAATTTACATTTGCATTAGCTCAACTTTATCTTGCTGTTATTATCTTTATCCATCCACCCTTTCTATTTGGCTCAACAATGTTTCGATATCAAAATGAAACTTTCTTACCTCTAACTTGAACTATTTGTCTGCAATTATATTTGCCAAATTTCTAAGCAATCCTGGCTTTTAAGTATTCTATTATGTTATGATTGCCGAAGTTATGGACTATGTTTGCAATTTACGAAGAACAGTTTTTGTACTTCATATTTGGTTGTTACATCTTAAGCCGCTTATGTCAACTGAGTACTGAACTGAAACAACTACAATTAATTGAATAATGTCTAATCGATCTGTGGTTTATCTTAAATATACCACAAGTGCACTATAAATAATGGTTAGACTCAAGCCTCTTCAACATACTTCAAAGAAACCTCATGTTCTACATGCAGTAAAAGCACTAGCAATTAATTGACAAATAGACTATGCCCATTTTTGTTATAACTAACAATGATTACAAATGGGTGTGAATTTATGTTCACAGTTCAAATGTGTGTGTGTGTGTGTGTGTGTGTGTGTGTGAGAGAGAGAGAGAGAGAGAGCATATATTTTACATTTAATAATAAATTTATTTCAGGTTACAACAGTCATACCTGTGCACTAATGGGGATGCTGGGATGCGAGTATACATTAAAGCTAAGTGTTACTATATATTAAAAGGTTATATAAAGATAATGGGGGAAATGACGGGGTGGGGGGAGTCCTATTTGATGGGGCAAGTATAAGCGGGGTGATATTTGGGTGGAAAAT